AGGTACCATCGAGTTTGATGTAAAACTTTTCCGTCCTTTTCCCTTTCTTCATGCTGCTTCATGGTTAATGTATTTGATGTTTTAGATGCTTACTTTAGGTTATTTTTCAGGTTTGAGGGGATTCCTGTGTTTTTGATTGTTCAGTCATGGAAATGGGGGGTAAGGGAGGTGAAATAATTTTAAAAGATGGTGCTAATTTTATAGATGAAAGACATGATGAGGATGGAGCTAATGATAGAGCTATGGGAGAAAATGAAGCATCTCAGGTAGGTAAAAATTGGTGTGCATGAGTTTATCTCTCTTGGATACCAATTGATCTACAATTTACTAAATAAGGTCCTTATGTTTCATACAACTTAGATTGAACCTTTTTGAACTTCTCAGAGTATCACAGCTGACACTGTCGATGAAGGGAAAATCGATCAGACTAAAGAACTGGTTATTCATGATGAAGATGATAGTGTGGGAAAAATGGACAAGGCTGAACTTGATGTTCAGGGAGTGATCGGAGGAGATGATGGAATCCCTCGGGTGGGGATGGTGTTCAACTCTTATGGAGAAGCTGTTACATTCTATAAACGATATGCAATGCGTGTTGGATTTGGTGTTACTATAAAAAAGTCATCATTTACAACATATGGACTTTGTCGAAGGCTTGTACTTGTGTGCAGTAAGGAGGGAAAGGCACAGACAAAAGCATGCTACCATCAATCGAGGCCATCAATGAAGACAAACTGTGAAGCTGCATTTATCGCTAAGTTATGGGGTGACGGGTTGTTGCATGTAGTGGAAGCTAAACTTGAACACAATCATGAACTTAATCCATCAGAAGCCCACCTCTACAGATGCTATAAGAATATGTCCAGTGGTGCTACCAAAGATCTTGCTGTGCGAGCTGCTGGACGTGAGCACTTACCATATGTTGGTATGGAATTCTTAAACTCTATTGAAGAGGGACAGTTGAAGCTCTCTGAAGGTGACAAGGAAGCTCTACATGAATTTTTTTCACGGATGCAGACCAAGAACCCAAGCTTCTTTTACTTGCTGGATTTAGATATGGAAGGCAATCTAAGGAATGTGTTCTGGGCTGATTCTAGGTCGAGATCAGCATATCAGTATTATGGTGATGTTGTTTACTTTGATTCAACTTATTTAAGAAATAAGTACAACATTCCCCTTGTCTTATTTGTTGGATCAAACAGTCACGGTCAGTTGGTGTTGTTAGGTTGTGGTTTGCTTGCAGATGAAACTCCTGGAAACTACTTGTGGTTATTTAAGGCATGGTTGACATGTATGTTAGAGCGCGCTCCAAATGTAATAATCACTGATCAGTCCAAGGAAATTCAAGATGTTGTTGCTAAAGTTTTACCAGAAGCACGTCATCGGATGTGCTTGTCAGATATAACTGGAAGTATTCCAGAGAAATTGAGGGATCATACAGAGTGGAAGACAATTCATAAAGCCATGAATGAAGTAATATATGGTTCTTTAAAAGTTGATGAATTTGAAGAAGGCTGGAGGAATCTGACTAAAACATATGGGCTTGAAGGTAACGAATGGCTAAATTTGTTATATGAAAATCGGAAACTTTGGGCCCCTGTTTATCTGAAGGACATGTTTTGGGCAGGGTTGTCCACTGCACTACTGGAAGACAGTGTAAGACCCTTTTTTGAAGAGCTCATATATCCAGAAACTTCTTTACAGAACTTTTTAGAAAATTACGAAATGGTTTTACGAACTAAGTATGAGTTAGAGGCTAAAGCAGATTTTGACTCATTCCACAATAGCCGGCTTACCGGATCCGAATCTCATATGGAGCAGCAGCTTTCCAAGATTTATACGCTTAGCATGTTTGAAAAGTTTCAGCATGAGCTAAAGGCAACTATCTATTGTCAGGTTTCACTACTAAAGGTAGATGGATCAATCTCTACATTTGAGGTGAGGGAGTGCACTTATACAGGAGGTGATGAAAGAAACCATGACAAGTATTATGAGGTATTGTATCATGTCGGTGAATTTGAGGTTCAATGTATTTGTGGTTTCTTCCAATTTACAGGAATATTATGCAGACATGCATTATCAGTTTTCAGTTTGCAACAAGTCTATGAAGTTCCATCGCAGTACATCCTCAATCGTTGGAGAAAGGATTTCAAACTGTTGTATGCTTTGGAATGTTCCTCGAAAGATATTTATGGCAATAAACATATTGAGCAATATGATTCTCTCTCCAAGCATTGCCTTCGACTTGTTGAAGTTGGCATGGTGTCTGATGAGAAGTACCAGCTTGCGTTGAAGTTAGTTAGAGAAGTAGAAAGATCTCTGTTAGATGAGAACATATTTCAAGATTTGCATAGTAGGCTTGTGTCATCTGTAACTAGGTTGACTGGAAGTGATGAGAATCATGCAGCATCGCAGGTGGGTATTGTAGATGGTGATAAGACCCCCAGTTCTGTTCCAGCTAAGCGAAGGGGCCGCCCTCCCAAAAAAAGAAAAGAGCCTGAAATAGAACCACTAAACGGGTCAAATGGCAAAACGGTACTCAACTACTGTAGTGTTTTCTTGTATTTTGTTTATTGTCTATTTTTTAATCCAATTTTTACTCGTAATAGGACTCCTTAAGGGCATCAGCTGATGGGAATCAGAGCAATATGTTTCAATCTTCATCGACTGCTTCACATTTTGGCACTCATGATAGGACGCATGGAGTGATTGATATAATGGTGGTTAATGGTTTTGACAAATTATGCATAAGATTACCCTTACGATTTTGTTTTAGTTTTCCTTTCTGTTAATTTGCTGTTTATCGGATGTCCATTCTCATTTTATCATGGTAATTTTTATTCAGGAAGAAGTTAACCAAAATGACTTAGCGTTTAGCAGCCATTATGGACTACAAAGTAACCACCAGCATCATCTTGGCAACCCGATGCAGTCTGGCACTACATTGCAGGTCCATAATGTGGCTGTTTGAATTTGTACATGCATTACTTACTTTGGTTCGCCATATGAAAATTTGTTATTTTTTTCTCTTTTAACATTTAGCATGATTACCTGTGTTAATTGTTGTGCTCACAAGGTGATTTGCATTCCGATGACCTTTAAACAACAATGTTCATGTATACAGAGCCATTTTGGACAGCAAGCTCTTGGAAGTCAATCAAGAATGCAATGGATTTGTCAACAAATGCTACAGGTTTTTTCTAAAATGAAAATTTTATTATTATGTATGTGTGCTGAGTGTCGTCTTGATTTCTGATATCATTGATCACAACACGGATGATGCTTTATTTATAAATTAACACAGGAAGATCAGACACCATTTGGCCGGAGGACAGGGTAGGAACACTACCACTTATCTCGATTTAACCTCAGGTATGTTGATGGTCCACACTGTCATTCCTATTCAATTTGGCCGGCACACGAAGTAGCGCATTTACTTGTTCCTTTTTATTTAGTGTGTTCAAGCAACTTTCCTTGATCTTGTGGCAGTATATATGCTAGGAGCTTGTGTCAGGTTATCTATATTGGTATGGTAAGCAAAATATTATAGTATTTTTTTTTTGTTTGGTCAAAATTCATTGGGTTGATTACCTTAATGGAGTAATATTTGCATGTCATTCTAGGTTTGGTTTCTTGCACTGGGAGAATTCAAGTGCCAATGGGGCATGTTGGTGGTCATACATGGCAATGAAGCCTATGAGTAACTGGGAATGGTCAGGATTTTGACATTGGTTTCGACTAGATTTTGTGCCAGCCAAGCTCCCTATGCTATAGAAGATGACGGGGTTGTGGTCCAAAAATCAGATTGTCTATGACCTAACTGTGGATTTTTTATATCCAATTGTAATGAAAAATGAGAAGTGGGTTGTTGGAATTCCTGGAAGCATGCTGTTTGGAGCTTTTGCCCTAATTGTTGGTATCATACAATTCAATCAGATAAGATTTTGTACTCTTAATGGATTTCTTATTGATTGATTTGCATGTACAGTACTCATACACATCTTTCATTCTTCTTTATGTCTTCCATATGCATCCTATGATACTACTGAATGATGCCTATATACCTACATCAGGCAGGAGGTAATCCAAATGTTTTGTGATGGTTCATTCACTGTTCTCACATTGAATGGGTTCAACTAAAATTTGTTTGTACTTGCTATTTGAGTGATTTGATTTGGATCAACATATGTACTCTCTCTCTCTCTCTCTCGACTATGAAACCTCTGCATTTTATCTTATTTTTGGTTAACAGGAACATTTAATTATTTGCTGAAACGAGTGCAAAAATAACCCGCTACATTATATTGTAGTAGAGAAGAAAAGAGATCACAAATGAGCTACTCCGTTGCGCATCACCAATGTAACATCCCATTAGTCCCACATCGTAAGTGTACAATATGTATGATTAACTTATAGGGCCTGATGAGTGTATTATATTAACTCCCGTTTAAGTATTTTGATCTGACTCGCTACGGATACATCTGATGACCACTGGCACACATGCATTGCAACGCAGCCCTCATGCACCGCACCTCCCCACAGACCTTGTCCCTTGCGCTTGGCACCGCAGCAGTAAAACCTCAAACATCTGGTGGGCAATTTTGCAACATCCTTGAGAACTGTACAGTGTCGCACATGGCGGCCTCCCCAAGAAATCAGATTCCTCTGGTGTATCCTCATGCTCCCATCTCGGTGACTAGCACTGCCTTCTCCTTGTCGAATGCTTCAAACTTTTCACAGAAGCATTACAGCAATGGTCCTCTGGTGTAAGAAAGCTTTACTGTCACCCATCAACCATGCTGGCCACCTCCTCTGTTTCTTTCTGAGCTCTGCAAGTCTGATGACAGCACGCAGTGACGCTCCATGTTTCTGCACCGATCTGTCTCCCATGATCAGAGGCTGCTGCAGCTGCTTCCTATCAGCATGTGACACATTATTATTCGTCACAGCAATCACAGGGCATAAGAAAAGAAGCTGCAAGCGCCACATGCTCCATAAATAATTGCTTCCGCCTCTTATTTATTGTGCGAGTCTGACTCTTCTTCATATTTATTGGCTTTATCTGGAACGAGGGCGAATGAGTCATTTTACCTCTATCAAGACCTTTCGCTGAGTCGGGATCGCCTGTCACCCCTCAGACACCTATCTATCTGTTTAAACGCGCGGTAAGATACAAGTGGCAGAACCTTGGGGTCAGCAGTGGTTCCCGGTCGGTACGAAGGCTCGCTGGGTTCCTGAACCAGTGTTCCCGGTCGGCCCCCACCCGGGGGTCGGGATCGCCTGTCTGCAATCGGGCAACCCCATGGCTCTTTGGTGGCGTGGAGTAAAGGTCATTGCTGAAAAAAATGTGGGCTCGTTTCTCTAAAGCTATAATTGACCACCACGTTGCTGATAACTACAACAGCTGACTGGCAATCGACAGGTGATCCCTGACCCGGTGGCGACGAAGCCTAACGTCATCTTGGCGTGGCATGCACACATGTCACTTCACTACGCACCAGAAATCTTATGCGGAACGAGACGCCACGCTTTCGCCTTCCGCGATGTCCTACGTGCCGGTGAATGGCCGCAACCCCGACTCCGCCGCGTAACGGACGCTGGCGGTACGTCATATTCCCTTTGTCGCTCGGAAGATTTTAATCCTCAAATGACCAAATTGCCCTCTCTCCCACTCACCGACCCTCCTTTTGTCTTCTTCCTCCCTATTTAACGCCCAGCATCTGGCGGCCGTGCAGGCGACTACAACCATCACCGAAACCCCTCCTCTCTCTCTCTCTCTCTCTCTCTCTCAATGGCCTGTAGGAGGAGCGAGGTGAATGGCTGTGATGGGGTTACCGAAGAGGTTACTCGGAGGGATTTCCCTAAAGATTTCGTTTTCGGAGCCGCGACCTCCGCTTACCAGGTAAATTACATTGATCAAAGGAAAATCCAGGATCCAGGGGTAGAACGGGCATTCTCGCCTAATTATTCTCCACGTTATCCCGGTTTTTCTGAGCTCCTTTTGGTTCGTACTTATCGAGGGTTCACATCCAACCGAAAAGGTTTTTGACTCTTCATTTCTTTTCTGATTGATCGGAATGTGTCGATGATTGGTTATTCTTTTTGCTTTTGGCGTGCCGCTCAAGTTTCTGTTTTCCTCTGTTTGGTTTTGTTTGTTCTCGTGGCATCTAGCATTCTAATTTTCGACGGTATTTTTCTTGATGAAGCTTTCTTTCGGATGAGCATTTGATGGAAAGTTAGTTAAAGATTGGTTTTTTAAGTTATAAACTAGCATAATGTAGTCTATTTCCGAAAGTAAAAGCGCACTTACTGTCACAGCCAAGCCCTACATGCATTGCATTTATGTTCTCTCACGTGATATGTTTCAGTGTATTTTATGACGTGTATTCTTGAACATTTTGGTTTCATTATTGCGTGAAATACTTAGGTAATGTGTGTAAATGCTTTCATGCTCATTTGTTTATCCCTTTAGAAGCCCATCTGCCATTAGATTGTTAGTTGGCCTGGACGAAACCTGTTTCATCTGTCACGATGTGAGGAATGAAAGCAAAACGACTTCTTAGTGCACGGAAATGTTGAGGAAGGCGTTATATTAGGTGGTTGATAGCTGTATGAGAGTGTTTTTACCAGTCTTTCATTTGTTCAGCGTTTGTTTTTGGTTGTAGCAAAGATTCACAAAAAATGGTTCTCTCTTAGAGAACTTATTTTCTTTGGTTTTAATTGCTGGGAAACAAAAAAAATGGAAAATATTTTACAGATTTAGGTGGAAAAATTAGCTGTTGTTCTCTGGATTTGTTTTGGAAAAGAAAAGAAGGCATGAGAAAAGAAAACTTCCCCAAATGAGTCCTCATTATTTGCTAACTTTCCAGAAAAAAAGATTAAATCTAGCTTTCCAGCATTCTGAAAACGAGAAGGAACTTTATTCTAGAATACAAACAAATTGTATTTTGTTCCCATGAAATTAATTTTTTTCACAGGACGTCCTTCTCCATCATTTTTTTTTTCTTGCAACCAAATGGACCCTGAAGGAATAAGAATGAGGCAGGATCAAGAAACAGGACATAGTTACCGTATAATATATGGAAGGAGGTTTTGGGATGATATATGTGAGTTAGGATCTACGACAAAGAAAAGAGGAGGATTATTTTGATTGGGATGGGAAAACTTGTAGGATATATTTGTGAAATATCCTGTGTGGTTATAATACTTCTTATGTTTTAGAGTTTTAGATTTATTTGAATTTCTAAGTTTTTATTTTTATGTTATTTTTCTGACTGATCTTAATTCACTGTTTTAATGGAGATAGTCCTACCTGTCTTTTTCTTAAATTGTAGGGTTGTACTCGATCCAAATGCTGTAAACCTTACGTTCTATTGCATTCTATCATTTGATTTTGAACATGAGTCATGAAAGGCTTGATAATTTTGAGCACGTCCTGGATCATCTCTCTCTTTTTCTATTTATGTATATATGTATAAATAATAAATACATGCATAAATATAAACGTGTATGTGCACATGTATGTATATATCCATGCTGAATGAATAATATTTAAAGCTAAAAGTTCTGAGCATTGACTGGGACAACATTGGACGAAAATTGATATTCTCACAAGAACAGATTTTAATGTCATCATATACCTGATAGTTTGAAGGTTTCTTTTTCTGTAGAGCGTACTTTTGTGATACACTTTTTGTCCAATTGACTTAAGGTTTTCAAGTTGAAATGGTTCCCCACAATGAAACTTAAAAAAATGGCTTCAATGTTAGAATATGCCTTTTCTAACATCTCACGACTTCTCCTATATGCTTTACTAACAAAGACCATGAATATTCCTTTCAGATTATCATTTTCTGCTACCAACATCCCCATGTCCTTAGTTTGATATAGTGAAAGTAAGTCTCAAAGGTAACTTTTGATCCACCATGACTTTAAGTTGAGATGAAGGACTTAAGAGGAGGAACCACTGAGGACAGGGTAGAGAGGATGCAATATCTGATTGTTGCAAATAAGCAGTTTGGCAGATCAGGTTGGAAATATAGGTGCAGAGTCTATGAGAAACCTCTTCTTGTATAGCACACTGATAAATTGAAGTGGTTCTCTCCAGGAAATTTTTATGTCTTGTTGTCTGATTGATATCTTTTGGTATTAATAATGTCCTGTAAGCCACTGCGAACCACCTAGGCTGCAATTTGGTTCTGGTGAGCTTCTACTCCCATCACGTAGGGCCTAATGCCCTAAGCTACTAATGTATGTGGACCAACTGCCAAGAATTAAAAATTGTGTACCATAAATTTCACTTGTAACATCTTCCTTGAAGGTTGCAAATCATTTTCATAACCACTTGTTATTTATGGTATCAGGTTTTTAAATACTTTTATATTACAAATATGTTTAGGGATCTACATTCTGTCAGTTAGAAATAATCAACGATTATAGCATGTCTTTAGTGTGAAATTCCCAGTGATATTCTAGTTCCCAGCATTTGCATTTCATCTATAAAAATGTTCATGTCTTTTACATCTTATCAGTTACAAAAAAAAGTCCCTTTTTGTCTTTTTCCATAAATTAATTTGTGATTTTTGCATCCGGAGATTATACTGTTAATCTTTTAGTCGAGTTAGATTCCCATTTTAATTTGTTGTATGTACTATTTTAATTTTATCAGCAGTCTTTTTTCTCAATAATGAATTGGTAAATTTTATAAAATCCTGATGGAGAAAAAACTTTCATTTCTATAGGTTGAAGGCGCAAGAAGAGAGGGTGGAAAAGGTGATAGCATTTGGGATGTTTTCTCAGAGCAAAAAGGTTTGGGCTTTTCATGCATATCATCATCGCTTCTTTCACCTTTTTTTGTTTATCTGCATTTAATGTTTATATCATCAGATAATATAAAGGACAGAAGTAATGGAGATATTGCAGTGGATCAATATCATCGCTACAAGGTTAAATGTTTTCTCATCTTGACTACTTATGGAAGCTTATTATTTGATTTCCTGTGATGCTTTAGGATTGCATAACTGTTATGTTGAACCAACTTGTCTAGGATTGATTCACATATCACTTATTCTTGATGTAATTTTCATGTTGAACCTTGTATTGGATGGTTATCGTACTTCAATATCTGAATTCAAATATGCGGGAGGTTTTTTGTTTTCTTCGAGCTTGTGAGGATGAGTCCTTCTATGTCTTGGCCACTCAGTCCAATGACTACTTTTGTGTCTTAACCACACAGTGCAATGAATCCTGTGTCTTGGCTACTCTGTCTAATGAATCCTTCTGTCTTGCACACTTATTCGTTTGTAGTCTTTTCTTTCTAATTAAATTTCAGCCCTTAGTACGATTTTTTTCCTACTGCTATTCTATCATATAAATCTTGTTTTCCTTTAGTTTAATGCATAATGTACCTGTTAATTACCTCTATTAATCTTCTCATTTAAAGCATCTGTAAATTTGAAATCATCCTTTTCTTAGCAGGATTAACACTGTTTTTCATGGGATGGTATAGCTCGTATGACAAATGACATACAGCAAGAATATAAATATAAAAGGGAAGAAAAGTTTTTATGTAATTCAGTAATATGTGTATATTCACAAAGCCCTCATGAAAAGTTCCAGATTTTTACAAATTTCACAGTTGCATAAATGGAACATTAGATACCACCATGAATAACTACACAGACAGGAAAAACCTTGGGAACAAGAATCATATATAGACATTCTATTTTATAATTCGAGATTCACTATGCATAATTACATTGTAACTATCAGCATTTTTCTGTTGCCCAGGAAGATGTGGAGCTTATGGCCAAACTAGGTTTTGGTGCTTACCGATTTTCTATATCTTGGACTCGTATATTTCCCGGTATGCTTTGTTACCCATTTTCATTAATTTAAGCTTGAAAATTTAGTTTTCATACTTGTTTGTTCTGGTACTTTATCAGTAGAACTGTCAATTACAAAAGTCACATTCTATAAGGGGGCTAGACACTAATACTTGGGTTGCTGGACGTGGAAGACCTTATAATCATTAGATCGTAGAAGCTGATGGAAGGTTTTCTTTTCTTTACACCATACAAATATAGACATGAATACAATAAATGAAATCAAGTTGTGGTTGTATATGATGTCTAGTTATAGTAGGATCCAAGTTCTTGCTAGGGATAACCAGTTTATATTTGGAAGAAGAGATGAGAAATCTTAGAAAGCTCAAGTATGCATGGTTTATTTTAACTTGAGGGATAACACTATCTTAACCTTATTGAACCTTTTTTGAAGCCACTTTTGGTGGCTTTTTCCTTTCATTTTCCTTGTACTTTGGTGCAATAATGACTATTAATCTAGGTCCTTTTTTGCCCTGTGTTATCTTAATGGTCTATGGCAATGTATTGACTGTTTTCCCATTCAAACATATTGGCTGTCCTTACAAGGTGATACACCACCTTTATATTATATATATATATATATATATATAATCCAGATGTGCATTGAATTGCTCTTTACAAATTTAGATATGTGGTGATGTATCAAGCATACAATCCACTTCCCTCCACCCTGAGCGATACCCCTTGGGGTCAGTATTTAAAAATTATAAGTCCACTAGTGCAGACAAGCCTCTCAAGAAATGTTCTACCACTTTGTGAATAATAAATAATAATGTTTCATGAGCAACCCAAATGGTGCAATGCAATACAAAAATTACAGGATGCTGATTTAATCAAGGATAAGGATTTTGTGGTGCAGACTTATGCCACCTATTGGCTGGCAACTGGCTTGACGTGTGCCATTGTGTTGGATAACAATGTGTGCCATCACAAAGGAAGAGAGAGAGAGAGAGTAACACCATAAGTAAATTTTAACAAGAATATCTGTTGTATCACTAAAATTATATTATATATTTTTTTAATTCAAGTCTATTATTGTAAACCTATTGAATCCTTTTGATTAAAATGATCATGTCAATGTGTCAGAGTTGCCTCTTCTTTTGTTACCTTAGTAGAGTATTAATTATTGGAAAGATTTTTGGAGCCACTAGGTTGGCAATATTTACAAGGTGAGAAAAAAAATCAGAAAATGAGTTTAAAAGGGTATGATAAGCAAGGTTTGCCGTACCGGACTGTACCGCCTGGTACGGGCGGTACGTACCGGTCCGACAGGCTAGCGGTACGCGGACCGCCCTGTACCGGTCCGCCCGTACCGAGCACTGTAGCATTGCTACAGTGCTCGGTACACCTGGGTGTACTGAGCGGTATACCGTACCGTACCGGTACCGAGCCCGGGTCAAAACGCCGGTACGGTACGGTACGGCGAACCTTGATGATAAGAATCACAAAATAAAAAAATTTAAGATAATTAGAAAATTGGAGAAAAGATATATATTCAATATATAATCAGAGACATTAACTTTTAGAAGGTAAGCTTAGATGTCTATTCCGTTGGAGTTAGTGCTTAGGACCAAGGATTTTAATTTCGAATGATACGGGCGGTACGTATCGGTTTGCCAACAGACTGGTACGTGGATCGCCTGCTATCAGGCGGTATCAGCCTGGCTGTAGCCTACCTGCGACAAGGGAAGAAGAAGCGTTGAGGGAGAAGAGGGAGAATCGGGAGAACGTCGATGCTTTCCGATCCGGCACCACCCTCCCCGACGATCCCGATCCAAGAGGTAATGGAGAGGCGGTGGCTTAGCTTCTTCTTTGCCGCATTCTTCGCCAAAGGCCGGAGACGCCTACAACCTTCGTCACGTTCTTCGCCGAAGGTCGTAGACGCTTGCGGCCTTTGCCGCGTTCTTCATCGAAAGCCGGAGATGTCTGCGGCCTTCGATGTCTTCGCTGAATGCCGCAAATGAGGAGAAGACCATGTTCTTTTCTACTTCTAACGCGACAAGGAGAAGAAAAGGAGGTGATGTTGCCGAGACAACGTATGCCTCTTTTTTTTTAANATTATTTTTCTACTTATATATATAT